TTTTTTTTTAAACACTTCTTCAATTTAGGAAGAATAAACCGTAGTAAACCCCTGTGGTGTGTACACAAGGGTCAGACCTGATCCTTACCTGTCTCTCCAGTGGCGGTGGGGGAGGGCAAACTGCCGGCAGACCGGATGATCTCTGAGCTGCGGGGGTCCAGTACTTCCTTCCGCAGCAGCGGCAGCACCCACCCTCAGGCCCCTGGCCCAGGTGGCCCCAGGGGCACCGCAGCCCACAAAGGGAAGCACCTGCCCCCCCGCAGCCGCGGAGGAAAGCACTGGGCCCCCGTACAACTCAGGCAGGCAGGCTCTGGGGAGAGAGAAAAAAAGATCAGGCTCACTGCTTTTTTTTCCCCCTTCAGTGGAGCCTGCCTGCACGGGCTGCTACCAGGCTGCCTGCGTGGGCTGCCTGGACAGCCCATGAGCTGCATGGGGCCCAGTACTTCCCGCCATAGCTGTAAGGAAGCAAACTAAAACACCTCAGAGGTGTTTTATTTTGCTACATCCCAAAGTCATTTAACGTGCAATACACCGCTGACAGTGTAAACAGCAATGCCACTGAAGTGGTGCAAAAGGGCATTTAAGCCGCTTTGAAGGCCAATTTTGTGGCATGTACAAAGGCCGTATAGAGTTTAGTCACAACCGGTGACGACTGCAGTGTGATGACTGCTGCACTGGCCACCCCTGCAAAGATTGAGCCAGGCATTTCCAGGACCAAAAACATGAAAGGGTAATGGAAACCAGTTCTTTGTGGATTACATTAGCTGCCTTCCCTCTGCCTCTGAGGGGGCGCACTGGTGCAGCCATGCCAAAAGCTGGCTAAACATGAGCAACTTCGGGATGATCCTGAGGGCATGGGCATACAGACAAGTTACCATGAGATACCACAACAAAAGAGTGTGCGTCCTGGCAGTTACTACAGAGGAATTGTGCCGTTTGTTTCTATTCTAGGGTAAGTGCAAGGCAGCTTATCCCTTGAGGAAAGTGGGATAAGCTTGCGTTTCCCCCAGGGCAAATGTGTGCACAGAGGCAGTTATCACAGGTTCACATCTTAGCTTACCTCATCTTACTTTTTTTCTCACGCCCATAGCTGGATTGTGCAGGCGGGCCCCACAGCTCTTCTGTTATCTTTCTCTGCAGCCTCTTTGAACCTGTTGCAAGTCTAAGGAAAGGAATTCTTGGACTATATTGTGAACCACTAACTTTGTTTCCTAATCAGAGAGTTGTTTTTTAGGTCTTTGACACAAATTCCTTTGTTTGAGATGAAAGGAGCTACATAGACACAGATAATATTTTGTTCCCATTTTATTTAAATGATGTTAAAATAGTTGGTATGTTTGTCTGGAGTGGGGAGGGGGAGTTATCTCTAATCTAGATGTCAGCCACACTTATGAGAATGTAAAGAGGAACTATTTCAAAAGCTTGAGATTTGTTTTATATGTGGGGTTGATTTTTGTTTTCAATTTAGGCAGCCAAAATGTTTAATTATGCCCGGTGGGAGAGAACCTGCAATGTCCTCTTCATCATTTTTTCTGTGATGTTTTTTGTCACACGAATCATCCTTTTCCCCTTTTGGTAAGTAATACTTGTTTTAGTTGCACTTCTCAGGTCATTCTCTTTCCACCAAAAAGTTGGTTGAAGTTTGAATGAAAAATAGGAAGGAACCCACTGTTATATGGATTCAGGAGCCAGCTATTAATACTACAGTATGATTAGCCAGTTAGATATTTGGTAAGATAAAAATAGTGATTGATTTTTGTTGTTTAAATCATAATTTTTAGCTTCACTCTTTAAAATTATACCCAATGAAATCTAAATAATGACCATCTGAGTGAAGGCCTAGAGTTACTTAAAGATGTTATAATAATTTAAATGTAATATTATTTAGAAGCATGTATTTTCTGCTGAAAAGTTAGTGTGTCAGAACAAGGTGGGGTTGCTGTCACTTGGGCATTTTGGTGATATCTCTTGTTTGGACCAATTGTATAGATGGGAAAGATTTTTAGAAAAGCTTTTGGCATGAGGCTATAACATCCCTACTATACGAAACCCCACATACGGAAATAATAGAACATTTCTAAACCTTTCCAAACCATTTTCATTCAAAGCTAAAATTCCTTGGCTCCTAAGCTGTCTTTTAATAGCAAGATGCATATATCAGTAGAGCTGAGATCTGTTGATGAAATTCCTAGTCTCTTCAGAGTTTTTTTTTTTTTTTTTTTTTGTATGTTCAGGAAATAGCCAGGTGATTTAGCTAACTGACTTGGAATGAAAAATTATAAATAGTACAGGTGGTACTTGGAGTGTGTTCCTCGTTTCATAGCAATACTGTTTGTTTTTCAGGATCCTGCGTGCTACAATCGTTCTGCCCCTTTACTACTCCACAACTCCAGTCATAGTATATTTCCTCTTCAATGGACAGCTACTGGTCCTGCAGGGCCTACATCTTTACTGGGGCAGCTTAATTTTGAACGTATTGAGAAAATTCATTTTCGTACACGTAAGTAATCTTGGTATATGCCAAAACGCGTGAAAATCCAAAAACTGCACTGTATCTTTGACAAATTTACACTTTGATCCTTACATTTTCCTTGAGCTCTTAGGGCCATGCTTGTTTGGTACCAAAAAAGAAAAAAACCCACCAAAAACCTGAAGGTTTTCAATTGTTCTGTGCACCCACAAGCTCCCACTGTAATATTATGGCCAGATTTTAATAAGAATTTGGGATCATCCAGTGCTGTGCTCTTGGGGAAACTAGTGCCTTATTATGCTGTAATAATGGAAACTAAGATGCACCTTAGCACAGCTTAGTGAATGTTGGACTTTACGGTGCAGTTTAGTGAATAGTGGACACCTAGGAAACAGTTGTCACTTGGCCTACAAAGTGGAGTGGGCTGGTACTGCAAAGACTGAGAGGAAAGGTGAGGAATGGGAAAGAAGGTGATTAGGACCAGTCAACCTGGACTCAATAAGGGCAGTCATGCCTGACCAACCTGATTGCCTTCTATGGCAAAATGACTGGCTCTGTGGATGCAAGGACAGCATGGGATGTGATATACTTTGACTTTAGTAAGGCTTTGATACAGTCTCCCATAACGTTCTTGCAAGCAATCTGAGGAAATACAAGCTGAATGAATGGACTAAGGGGGATAGAAAACTGGTAGTGTCATCAGGCTCAGATCCGACTTAATGTCTAGTTGGCAGCTGGTATCAAATGGAGTGCCCCAGTGGTTGGTCCTAGGGCAGGTTTTGTTTGATATCTTCATTAACAATTTGGAAGATGGGATGGTGTGCGCTCTCAGGAAGTTTGCAGATGACACCAAGCTAGGAGTAGTCAACATGCTGGAGGGTAGTGCTAGCATTTGGAGAGACCTCGACAAATTAGAGGATTGGACCAAAACAAATCTCACAAAGTTTGGTAAGGACAAGTACACAGTTCTGCTCTTAGGACAAAGCAATCTCATGCACTGGTATGGGCTTGAAACCAACTGGCTAAGCAGCAGCTCTGCAAAAAAGGACCTGGGGATACAATGGACAATAAGCTGAATATGAGCCAGCAGTGTGTCCTTGTTGCAGAGAAGACTAATCACTTCTGTTGATCTTTGGGCAACACTCCTACTAATGCAGCCCAGCATGCTGTTAGTCTCCTCTTTTCAGCACTGGTGAGGCCACATCTGGAGTATTGTGTCCAGTGTTGGGCCCCCCACTACAGAAAGGATGTGGACAAATTGGAGTCCAGCAAAGGGCAAAAAAAATGGTTCAGGGGCTGGGGCACATGACTTCTGAGGAGAGGCTGAGGGAGCTGGGCTTATTCAGTCTGGAGAAGAAGACTGAGGATTTAATAGCAGCCTTCAACTACCTGAAGGGGGACGGAGCCAGACTGCATTCAGTGGTAACAGATGACAGAGCAATGAGCAATGGTCTCAAGTTGCAACAAGGGGAGTTGAAGTTAGATATTAGGAAAAACTCTCACAAGGAGGGTAGGAAAGCACTGGAACAGGTTACCCGGAGAAGTTGTATAATGTCCGTCCTTGGAGGTTTTTAAGACGTGGCTAGACAAAGCCTTGGCTGGGACGATCTAGTTGGGGATGGTCCCGCTTTGAACAGGAGGTTGGACTAGATGACCTCCTGTGGGCCCTTCCAACCCTAATTTTTTGTGATTTTAATTAATCAAATCTTTACAGGTGATACTGAGAGATAAGAAAGCTAGTGACAAAGAACATAATCATAACAGTCGAACTGCTCGTGATGGTAAACAAGTTCTGCTGTTTCCTCAGACACTTCCTCTTTCTCTACTTACAGTTTTTAATATTTGGGGTGCACCGATACAGATTTTCTTGGCCGATACCAGTGGCCATATATTAACCAGCCATATCGGCTAATACCAATCCAATAGTTGATTTACAGGAATGCAGCCTGGCAGCGTGGAGAGCAGCTCCCTGTCACCAGTGCATGTGGCATTTATTGATGACATTATCAGCTACACTGGCCAAAAAAAAGTCAGTTGCCAATAATGTTAATTTTCCTTTTACTGGGGCAGATCTGATATGCAACCAATATATGCACCTCTATTTTAATATCCTTCCTTAAGAGAGACAGATAAACCAATAACGTATATTCTGCTACTAATATATTTCAGCTCCAGAGCCACAGAATGAGTGTGTAATGGTAATGATTGAATGCGGCAGTTCATTGATTCGTACACTTCTGAAATGAAATAGTGAAGCCTCCTGTAGTCAAGATGTTCCCTTGGGCCTCTCCCAATTCAAAACCCACATTTTATCTTACCTGTGACTAAGATTTTAGTTGTATAGTGCATTGAAACCCTTTGGACATTACCTTCTGTCTTGGAGTTTCGTTCTAGAGTTCACAGTGAATGATGGTCACCACTAGGCAGATGACCAGCATGAGTCCAGTGAGCCATATAAAATTATAAACTACCTCGCCTGCATATGGGAGATTCCTGTCTGAAACAACTGCAGAGACTTCTTTGTTAATAGCCAACTTCTTTTTAAATGCCTTATGCAGCAGTATTTCCAGGTGGACTGTTATAAACAGTGCAATGTATTCAGAGTAGCTTAATTAAGGGGAGCACAATCAGCATTTTGCAAAAAGGACTTCAAAGAACGGCTCCTGTGGTATTTGACCTGGTAATTTACAGAAACTGCCTTTAACGTTTTGGAAGTTTAGAGGAAGCTCATGCTGCAGTCTTGAGAATACTGTTTCTTCTAAGGATCGAAACTAGGAAACTGAAAAGGCCACTGAGTTCAGTTCTCTCAAGCTGTTAATGGTGCATATTATTTTAGGAGAATGGGAATATCTCATTCCATTTTATATTGTTGTTGTTTGTCTGAGAATAAAAAAGGACAATTATGACAACTTACACCCCAGAAATAGCTAGCCAAAACCTCAGTACACACAACATTGGCTTTCCTTTGGTGTGAACCCCATCATTTTCTATAATGACCTGATCCTCTGCCCACTGACCTCGATGGAAAGATTTCTATTTGAGTCAGGCTCCAATAGCTATTCTGGATATTGGCATTATGTAAACAAGGGAAGAATAAAGTACCTTCCCTAGAAACTTCTCATTGCTGACAAATAGGCATGTATCCTGGCCTGACGTCCAACTTCATTCATAGATATCATGTCTATCATTTTGGTCTGGCATGTGGAGAACTCTCCATAACCAACCAGCACAAACATTTCCTACAAAGAGCCAGCATCATCTTGCAGTAGCTGATTCAATTCCAGTCTAGTTTTCGTATTCCTCTATTTCTGTATCATGCAATATTGAACAAGAACAGTATGTAGTCACTAGACCTTGCTCCCGTATACCAGATCTGCTTGCTCTGAGGTTGCCAGTTAACTGATGCAAAGGGATTGCTCAGAGATCCCATAATTGATTCAGTTTATTGGCAGGACGGAGGATCCAAAGTTGTTTGCTCGTGGTAGGTCTTTACCATACATTTCTATGTCATGTGTCATATGGCACTATTGTTCATTCCTAAATGATGGCAGGTGGCCCACAGACTGGGTCTATTTGTGGTTTCTCTCTCCCTCCTCCTACACTGATGTTTAGTTTTCCTTCGTAGCTTTTAGCAAGGGCAAGGTTGGAGGGAATTTTAAGAACATTTTTTCACTTATTTTTTTTTTCTTGTATTGAAAACCCGAGTATCTTTCACTTTTAGTGGCTCCTCTGTCTCGCTAGCTGGGCAGTCGTTCCTGGTTGGGTTTGCAAACCGCATTGTTTCTCCTGATCTCTCTTACCAAGCAGTGATTGCTGGTTCTCTACTGAGTGATGCCTTGCCTTTGGTTTCTGTGACTCTTACTAAGAGGACAGTCTGAGAGAGGGCAGTACTTTCTGAGGTCTGTTTAAGGTCATGGTTCTTAACATGCTAGCTTGCTTGTGCAGCCTAATCTCTGAGCCAGTTCTGCCAGCAATGCTATTCTGATGGCCTCTGCCCGCAAAGCTCCTCTGCACCGGAAGAAACCTACTTCCGTCAGCAAAATTACTCGCCCCCTGCCAATGGAGTAAGGAGCCTCCTGGCTAGCAGAAGGTACTTGGAGACATTCCTCCCACAGCTTCCTGGTGGTAGCTCCTATCTACTGCTACAACTTCTGCCACCAGAGGCAGGTAAGTGTGAACAAAGCCTCGGTTATGGGTAGGGCTCCTTCGTCCCTCTTTCCCCTTGTCTGAGAATGCTGATCCAGTACGGCGAGATGTCAGTTGAACTGCATTTTTGGGGTAGATGAGCTCAATTTAAAAAAAATGGATCATAAACGAGCGAGGAAAATACGGCATTTCAACCGGCAGGATTGAAATATGTAAACAGATTGGACTGATTGTTTCTGTACGATTGGACCAACAACCTTAATATGGAAAGCCCCCCTCTAAGTCCTGTTTTCTCCTCTTTATGTAGGATACAGACGCGCACACACAGATAATGATAACAATATGTTACTTGGTTAAATGTCCTCATTGCTAGAGGAACTAATAAATAGAGCGTAAGGAGCTTGTGAAATTCTGAGTCTGCGTTGAAGTCTGCAGCGGAGGTAGATCTCGGCATTAATCAGCAAAACAAGGAGTATAAATGGAAGCAAATGTTTAATACAGAAAGATGGAGAAAACAAATTCCTTGCAAATCACAAACTTGTAGATGTCTGGAATGGGATTCTGCACAAAACGTGTTTATAGATAGCTAAACACGGGCTGTAACAAATGCAGAGTTGAGTTTGCCACCATACAGCCCTGAACGTTCTGTGTTTGTTATATGCAGGGGTTGAAATAGTGCTCTGTGCCTTTTTTCACCCAGCTGTTTTCTCCTGAAATCAAAGAGAGAACTTCTCTTCCTCAGCTGGGTAAACAGTTCCCCATCTTTCCTGACTGGTGCCATGAGTGCACTACAACCACATGCTCAGAAACCGCAATGGCAGTGCAGGTATCCATATAGTACATAGTGCGGTCCCCCAGGCTTTCCAGGAGATATGTCTTTGTAG